CCAAGGCTTGACCAGTATCCTGAGCAGGGTTGGGGCCAGCTAGAAAGGCCCTGTGAGTGAGGGTGACCAGGCCAGGCACTCTCCAGGAAGACAGACCCAGGCTGGATCCCCTGGGCAGCACAGGAGACAGGCCCAGGCTTCTGGAGACTCTGCCCCTCTCGGGAGCCAGTCCTTCCCCTTTCAGCCTGGAGCTCCCTGCTTCCCTCTGAGGTCCCAGGGAGGAGTCCTCCCTGGCCCAGCTGCCAGGGTCACAGCAGCCTGCACCCCACCAGCCCGCCTCTGCCTCCCTCCGTGCCGCCTTCTCCCCGTGCACCTGGGGTCCTCTGGACTAGGCCTGGGCCTGCGTCGCCTCTTCCTGTGTGGACACCAGTCAGGCTCCGTAAAATCCCTTTTTCCAAATACACTTGTGTTTCGAGATACAGGGTTCAGGGCTTCGGCTCGTCTGTTTTACAGGACACAGTTCAACCCATCGCTATCTTTGAGTTGGGGGTCACAGGAATATGTTATCAGACAAAGGGTTTGTTTGTACCTTTCAGGATTCACTACTTCAGTCCACTCACTGATTAAAGATGACTTGAAAAATCAGATGTTTTGCCATCATTTTATCATCACCAGTGAGATCAGTCGCTTAGTTTTATCTGGATCTTTGTCCTCCTACACTTTGTATGGCATCAAAGCCTTTACGGCTCTTCTCTTCTGGTGACAGCAATGCAATTTAGAACAGATTTATGTGAACAGATTTGTGCCTCTTGGCTGCCGAGGGGCTGGCATGGTGGTCGGTGAGTGCCTTTCCTGGACTCTGGGCTGTCCATCTGGAGCTCACCCCAGCCTCGGACCGCATACTCAGGGGGTCCTGCCATCTTCAGCAACTCAAACAGCCTGAAGAGACATGGCTCACTGGCACATGTAAGCTCCACAGTTAATTTTTAACTCATAGAACAAAACATTTTCATATTTGGGAAGAAATCAATCGGTGAAATGAAGCTGGGAGATGTACCAGAGATGCCAATTGATTGTTAGCACACTGATTCCCCTACATGATGTCAGGACATGTCTGCAGCGCGGGTCGACTCGTCCATTTGGAAAGGCAGCTTTACATCACGAATGTCAACAAGGGCTTTGGGCTCTGCAGGATAAGAATCTCTGCCTTACCCATGTAAAGCATGTGACCTTGATGATTTACATTAAACTCTCCAAACTCCACTCCAAAACCAAAACGATGCCCACTTCCTGTTATTTTGCAGAACTGCAGAGATACTAGAGATACGCCTTGTAGATTTACATGAAATCGTGTTCAGCTCAGATAACTTGCTCTAATGCCACTTAAAAATACTTGATGATAACTACTAACATTTTATTTCCTTTTAAATTTATTTTCCAAAAAAGGTTTAACAAGATCAACACGAGCACCTTAATGGTTAAGTTAGTGATTGTGAAACTCGCTCAACAAGGATTCATTGCCTCTGCGGAGCCTGCACGTTGCTGAAGCAAAGCCAGTGACCCATCACAGTAGAAGAGCAAGGACAGAGAGTGTCAGACATTCATATAATGGCATCCCTCTTCCTTTATCCAGCATCGAGCAAGCATGACTGCACAGTGCTGGGCCCTGGGGTGCAAAGCTGAACACAGACTCTCCGATTACCTCAGAAGCTTCATCTCAGAACAGAGCTGTCTGGAGCTGAATCCCTGGAATGACAAACCAGTGTGGCCAGCATTCGAGTGTCCGCCACAGCGGTCTGCAGTGTCTTGGGTGCTTAGCATATTGCTCCCTGCAAACAAGGCCTTCAGGCGCTTGCTGGGGCATGCCGGAGGAACCAGGGCCCAGGGAAGAGAGAGGTCACAACATTCATCAGTTTCCCAGGGATGTAGGTGCAGAATTGGTCAGAGGTGCAGGGAGTGGTCTGGTCATGGTGAGGCTGGCGTAGGGGAGTCGACAGAGATGGCTTGACTTTTACACAATATGGATGCAATTTTAAACAAACCAATGAACACTGTTTCAAACCAAAACACATTTTCTAATTATTCTTTAGTGCCAAGAGCTGGAAGCACTTATAGCAATTGGCTCTATTCCTGACAGTTATTGGAACTTAATTGCTTTGGGGGTGGGGAAAAAGAAATGCATGGAGTCTTATGGCTGCTAAAAGCCCTGGGGAAGTTGTCTGTAGTGAGGTCCCTGTACGTGTAGGAAAACAACACTGTGTCCCAGCAGGATCCAAGCCTCTGTAGGGGGGTGAGGAAGCCCAGAATAAGCAAGGGGACCTACAGACCAGCTGCCTCTTGTGCATCACCAGTGCTGTGTATGTGAGGACATCTACACAGGGGACATGAGAACCAAGAGGTACAACCCATTTGCTGAGAATCACCCTGGAGTCATGGTGGAATCAGAAGTGACAAGTGTGAGCCAGGCACAGTGGCCACACCTGTAATCCCAGTGACTTGGGTGGCTGAGGCAGAAGGATTGCAAGTTCAGGGTGAGCAAGGGCAACCTAGTGAGATCCTGTGTAAAGTAAAAAGGTCTGGGTTGTGGACCAGTGGCAGAGTGGTCCTGGATTCAATTCCCAGGACAGCAAAAAGGAAAGAAAGGTTGAGTGTGAGTTTGCTCCCTGGGAAGCACACCCATCCGGTGTTAATCCTCAGGTAGGGTCATTCACTCCTCCTCTAGAGAAGAGGAGACCCAAGCAGAGGGAGGTCAAGAACCTTGCCCAAACGAGGAGGCCTGTGAGGGGCGAGTGTGTCTGCTGTCACTTGTCATATTCCAGTGCTGGCTCTCTGCACTGCCAGAGCAGCCTTCACATGTGGTTCAGAGTCCTCCGGCTGGGACCCCAATGATTGGGGCCAGCATCCAGAGGCCATGAACCGCTGCACCTGGAGAGTCTGGGGACCCTGCATCAGGGTGCACGCTTCCTTAAGTCTGTCCGCTCTCGGTCCTTCCTGAGCCATAAAGACTGTGATGCATATCATGACCCTTGAAAGAGCTTCATCATTTAAGATGCACCCCTTCTTCCTGTCATCATACCCCAGGTTCCGCTTTGGGACCCCAGAGACCCCTGTCGATACAAAACTCCCCTTAACGCAATCTTCCCTGACCTTATTGGGGCTACAGCCCATTTTCTAACTAAAACATTTAATGTATGAAAGCGGGTGTGGGGTACAGGGATTGAATTGATGTTTTATTTTTCACTCAGTAAGAATCCACGGAGAGCCCCGTGCAGGCCAAGCATGGTGAACCCATGGGGCTGAGGGAGGCGACAAGTCAGCACCACGGTGGGCCAGCGGGCGGGCACGGGCTCCTCCCCAGGTCAGGTCAGCCTTCTAAGCTTCTCTTGAAGAGTGGGTGTGAAGGTAAATGTATTCTCCACCAGAAGGAAAACAGAGAAGCCCCTAAAGACAGCAGGAGACTCAAGTGTTTTGGAGTAAATTGAAAAAACTAACAATGGAGCATGGTGGGAATTCTTCCAGCCCAAAAGACTGTTGCTGCTACAGTTAACTGAAATATATATATATATATATGAAATATATATATATGAGAAACATTTTTTATTTGGGTACCATGTCCCAAACAGGAGTTAACTGACAAAATATTTTACCCCAACACTTTGCCAGTTTCTGCCTCGTGTAATCCAGCTCTTGAGGCAAGGTGGGGTGGGGTGTGGCAATGGAATGGAAGGTTAAGGATATTCTCGAGTGCGCTTGGGTGCTGGAGGCTGCAGGGCAGGACATCCCTATTCATCTGGCAGAGACTGCCAAAAGCCAAAGAAAGGAAGCAGCGAAAATCAAGGCTCCGCTCTCTCTGCTCACGAGTGCTATCATCGCACAAACCATCAAAACCAGCATTCCGCCCGTCCGCCTCGGTGCAACTCTAGGCCCAGTAGGTCTGCAGGCCTGGGCAGTGTCGGCGCGCAGCAGGGACTCCGGGACCTGGGTGGCCCAGGCGTCCTGCTCGGGGTTCCCAACTTTCTCAAAAGTCCGGACGGAACCCACGGGGTCGTCGGCAGCGGGCTGCCGTCCTCCAACCGCGTAAGCGACGCACGCTGCCCGTGTCGGAGAGGCACGCTCGACCCCGGCCTCGCGGTGGCGGCGACCGGG